GTGGCAGGTGTGGGACGGTCAATTATCACACTCTTTTAAATTTATAATAATAAAAGGCTTTCCGGGGTGACAAATGACCGCCCACACCTTCCCTTGTCTCATGGTGTAGGATTCTAGGGGGATAGGGTTGTCATGAGTTTCAACATCAAGAAGCGCAACTTTCTTCTGGCCAGTGTATGGAGGACATAAGGACAATCACAGGGTTTTGTATGGTCATTGTTCAGAGGCCAACTGCAGTTCGGGGTAGTTAGTTGTCCTGTTCAGTCCAAAGGAAGTCAAAGACTGGGCCGTTGTCATCGTACTTTTAATAACAGTCGTCGTTGTATTTCTGGGCTGGTTCCTGGTTCAGGAATGTAATACTGGAACTGAGCAGCAGCCATAGACAGACCCAAGCTCACAGAGGAATTTGCAAGGCTAAGGCTTTGATCGGTTAAAATCACCACATCAGGCTTACTGAGAATAATATAGAACAATGATTGAGCACCCGGATATTGTCATAGTTCTTGATTAATTATATACTATAGATACTATAGGTATATTGACTCCTGTGGCCATCTGTTGCTCTTCGGGCTTTCGGAGCCTTTAAGGTAAGTACTCATTTTGCTGGTTTTGCTTACTGCTTAGTGTGATTTTACACTTTCCCTAGGCCCCTATGGGTGAATCTCCTTTCTGTTTCGGGTTCCTCAAGCTAATCCAAGCGTTCCGTGCCGCTGATGCATCCACGCATTGGTTGCACTTCTATGCAGTTCTTTACTTCCTCAGACACAACCAGGCGTCAGTACTTTTTGTTTTGGATCACGGACCTTAAGCATCTCTTTGCACCCAAACCAGCCTCACCATTCTCGATGCCACTTGTGCATTCAGAGGTTAACTGACACCACCGGTTCTGCCGACCATGCAGGTGGAGATGGCTTGAACGGCCGGGGTGCGGAGGCCGGAGGCTGTATGCGACGTTTCCCTCGGATGCCATCTTGGGCCAATGCGATGAATAGCGATGGCCTTCAACCTAATAGCGATGGGCTCCAACCGACTGTAATAGCGATGGCCTCATATGGCCTCCATCCTAATATATAGCAATGGCCTCCAACCTAATAGCAATTGCCTCCAACCTGTATCAGAAATGGCACCCATGTCCTTTCCTATTCGTCCATGAAGAACAACCAGCCTCCGACAATCCTGCTTTTCACTCCAAGCAAAATACACGCAGAACCATCAAAATGGATTCTTGCAACAGGGAAGCCACAGCAACGACTCAAAAACCACGACAACCAGCGAGAAGGTGGTCCCTTCAGCCATCAGGTCCGACCAACACCAGCGCCACCGATGCAGTTCCCGGACCCAGCAGTGGTAGCATCCAGGTCGGAGGAGTGGAAAAGACAGAACAATGGTTTTCACTTGCAACGTGAGGGAACATGTTTTCGAACGCAGGTGAACTATGTTTTTGTTAATTTGTCAATATTATATATGTAGCTCTCATTTTCAATGCAATTTCCTTGAAACATACTGTATGTTGTTGTAGCGCCTTGGCAAGTGTTGGAAAATCGAGGGAACAACCTACTTCATCACAAATCATCGCCTCAAGACACTATTCTATTTCTCAAGCAGGACCTTGCAATGCTCGATGGGCTTGTCCATTCCCACCTGCATACTCATAACTCATGATTCAAGCAGTTTTGCTCGATTGATCATTGAGACCGCCAAATAGGAAAGACCTGCAGTGGCTTTGCCGGCAGCGGTGCGATAAATAGCGGGCAAACCCAAGGCACACACTCGCCAATCTATGCTTCGGTCCTTACATTCCGCCATCGTCTCCATTTGTGTTCTGAGTCTATTTTTACCACCTGCCCCTTTTGCCCCAGCACCCGAGGTCATCAAACGTCCAGTGCTCAGAGCATCCTGGAGGAGAGCGGATTGCTTGCCAAAGTTCTTGTGTAGTAGGTATGTTGATGTTCTTTTCGGGGAAAGTACTCTTAAAGGGTAGGTGAGTTTGGTTTCATCTACGTTCAACCATTCGTGAGAGATGTCGCAACAGTTTAGATCGGGACGCAGCGACGCCAGATGTCAATGTCAGAAGTGGGACTTATGTTTTCAAAATCTTTGGAGCAGGGAGTAGGGAGACCCTCCAACCACTGCGTTTTCCTGGATGTTTCACAATTTTCCCTTTTCCTGCCACTCTTTTGGGTGTCTCCGATGTCTTCCTAGTTCACGTCAGTTTCCAACCAAAACTTGTCCGACCCGTTTCTCAGGTGGCACGAAAGCCGCAGAAGCGTGAAGCTGCTGAGCGGGTGCAGATTTTGTTCCTTGGCGTGAACTCATCATCCCTGTGGATTGCAGTATGCACCAGGAGAAATCGAAACTCACGGATCACTGAAAGATGGTGAATGTGGGATAATGTGGGTGATGGTGAATGTGATGTTCCTTTCAACCAGCAGAGAAAAGCTGAGGGGGCTCACAGAAGAAACGAGAGTCGGCACAGTCTCAGACTGACCGCGTTACGGGCAGACTCCCATAATAAATAGATATTCATCGAGTTATTAATAGGCTTGCTGTGTTTATACATCCTTCAAACAGCAGAAATTAGCAAAGACACTGCCTTTCTCGCACACACCACCACCTGAGCAGTTTCTGGTCGGTGTGTAGCTTGGACACCTAGGATTCATCATTGCATTCCCCTGCTTGTGTGGACCTGTGCTTTGTGGCAACTCACCCCTTGCCAACTATTTAAACAAAGAGGCTGCATGTGAATTCCTTGATGGTCACTGAAAGTACCAAATCTATGGCACACACACACACACACTACAACTCCTGGTACTGCAGTGGCATCATGGCACATAGTAGCACGCCAGGTTTGAGGACTCTTGTGTTCAAAGAGCATTTGCATTTCTTTACTAAATCCAATACCTATGACACCAACTGTAGCAAACTTGCAGGTATCTCCGCCAAGAAGTCGCGCAACTGCGTCGGCAGAATGTGGAGCTACAGAACCAGGCCAGAGAATGGGCGCTCGACGAAGAGAACCTACTAGCGATGGCCTCCAACCTAACAGCGATGGCCTCCAAGCTAATAGCGATCATGTTTTTGGTCAAGTTCCTGGAATCCCTGCAGAATCGTTGCTTGCCAAAAAACGGCTCATGATGAGCCGGAGAATGACAATGATCGGGGGTGCGTCCTTGTATGTCTATCGGCGATCCCCCGGAGCAACATTCATTTGCAGAAACGCATTTGCGACCCCCGTTGCAGTTATTTATGTACTCCCTGCATTTTACGCGTTCGTGGTTTCTTGCTTGCAAGAAGTAGTCTGCGTCGGGTATGGTGTGCTACTGTATGGCTCAAAAATCCAAAATTGTGCAAAAGAAGCACGATCACACACTCTGTTTGGCCGGGTCTATGCTTTTCAGCCAAATTCCAGCACCTGCCTTCAATCTTTCAGCCTGAACGAAACCTGGCCCAGTTCTGGTCTACCACTTGATAGTGCTCTTTAATTTGAGTGCGATCCGACGGAGCTCGTGACCGTGTTCTCAAAGTCTTCCGTCGCAGAGCAACAATTTGACAGATCCACCGGTCATGTCCTTTCCGCCGCCGGATGGTGTCATATGTCCGTCGCCTTTCCTGCTTCGTGACAGGTCCGGGCAGGTGATCTTCAAGTGGAGAACTTGAGCGGACTGGTCAAGGACTTGCAGGAGAACATCTGTGTCACACGCATCGGCCAAAGGAAAGTGCACCCATCGGCCAGTGACGTTTTTTTCACCCCAAAGCATGCGGATAATGCCACAGCGGTGGCATCGAAGTGGCTGGTTGTTCCTTTTTGGTTGTTTTGATGGGAAAAGAGAACTGTAGGTGGGGGCCAGTGGGGGCTCCTAAATTGGAAGTGTGGCTCAAAGCCCTTTGGTGCATGCCTGTCTATGTCTTTTCGAGGGCACAGCGAATTGGCTCGCCATGGCATGGGAACAGTCTTCCAAAAACATCAAGATTTCTTCTTAACTTGGGGTAAATGGTAAATGTGAAGTGGAATCAGGATGTGGGAGTTGCATCATCAGAAATGGGAGGATGTGGAATCTTTCATTTGGTTGTGGACAAGAGTGTTCCGAGTTTCCTTGCACTGAGCAAAGGTGAGAATTCTGGAGGAGGAAACCGCATGATTTCACAAGTGAGGTGATTCTTGATATTCTTTGCCTTCAATACAATCTGAGCAATACCCTTTGGAGATGTTTGTGTATAGTTTAATTGAAAGAGACATGTCGGCACGCAAATAAATTGGATGTGCTTGTTTGATGTTTTTAGTCTTTGTCGTTTTGGTGGGCGACTTGGGTACGTCAAAGACCACCTGCATCTCAGATCTCAGTTTGCAGAAGGTCCAGGCAGAAATCCGTTCGGAGGGACTAATTACATCTAATTACCCTAAACAACACATACTCTATATAAGCATGCAACACACATCCATTGGTCCATGTGCTTCGGCCAGTTCCATACTATTTTGGATTGGGCGACCGTTCTCTCAAACCTACCGCAGTGGCCCAAGAAGTGGCCCATACGCAACTCGCCAGGACTCGCAACGGAGTCGGACCACCTCCGCCTCGACGTGGGGCGGTTTCCGCGGTTTCGGCGACGGGACTCCGGGACACCGCCGGGGGAACACACCCAAAATAACCCATCCCATTGGGTCAGAAAGAAGGGTACATGTTGGATGGGAATGTGAATCATAAGACGAAAGTGTCCGTCCATAACTTGTAACGTAACAAAAAAGCATTTTTTGCACGCTGAAAGAAATCCAAATTCATGAAAGACGTCGATAGTCCAATCCACGTCGGTGCTCTCTTACCTGGGCGCCACATGCCAGGTCCACAGCAGCACCGGGTCAACCTGGAGCTCTTCCGCTGCAAGCGGGTGCGGACCGCTGCAAGCGGATGTGCGGTCAGCGGCGTTACAAGGAATGGTTGATTTGAATATAATCCCGGCGCCAAGAATGGATTGAATATGAAATGACATTGTTAATGCTTTTAAATCTAAATGACGTAAAGATTTGGTTTTTGACTCACAGATTGAGATCGATCACCTCAGCAGAGCGACTGGTGCTTTTGCGGTTGGACTAGATCCCATCACAGGTTCGACGATAGTGGAATTAAACCATCATGTGCATCATGCGGATGTAATTCCATGGCACCCCAAATCAAGAAATCATGCATTCCCTGGTTGTGACAACCCTTTGACACCCTTGACAGTTTTGTTTGCTTTTGTTCATGCATAAGAAGTAAGGTGTGACACGACCCACGCTTCCGAACCTGAGTTCGTTAGCCAGAAGATTGAATTCGGGAACCCGAGTTTGCAGCGCTACCGGCACCCTGGGTATGCCAGTGTGGGCACTTGCCATACCATTGTCCGTGGGTCTCGTGCCCCCCAAACTGCATACCTTAGAAACCAGCATATTCCAGAGGTCAATGGTCCGAAAGGTCTATCGCACAGCTGGTAGGCCGCTGGTAGGCCACTTGTCACCGGTTGCACTCATGGCATACTCCCAAGTCCCCACCCATTTTCGACGGTCTCCCTTTTTGTTTGAGGTCCCAGCAGCGGGGCAAGCACACCTGTCGTTGCCATGCCAGCACCTGGCCTGGAACGTCGAGATTGAGTGGGGTGGTGATATGGAATGGGCATGCTTGAGCAGAAAGAAGATCTTTTGAATCGATAGATACTGGACCATGTCATTTTAAGCATTCAAAAGGTGTCAAAAGATCAACACTGGACTGGGCACTAGACCAATGCCGCCAACCTGTTCAACAATGTGACAATGTGTCTCGTTCAAAAAATGTTCCTGTGAGTGTGTGGGGTGCCCATTTTTCACATCTCACAAAAGACATGTCATGTAATATCATGTAATATATACACATGTCCTCACCCCGACAACAAAAAGGTTCAGCTATGTACAGTATTGAAGTTCATTATTATTTGTCTCAAAGTTCTTGTATAAGAAGTTGTTCCTTCCAGTTTGCAATGGCCAAATATCCAGGCCTTTCATCAGCAAATCAAAGAAACCATAAAATAGCACCCAGATAGCATCCATCTCTTGTTGCTCTAAGGTGGTCGGGTCACCGACAAGTGTCAACAGTGCAGGCGTCACGCGATGGGTGGTACGGTTGAATTATCATCCGAGTCGGAAGGCATTGAGGTTTGGCTTGTGGATGTTGTGACCTGGTATGACTTGTTAATCTCTTCAACCTAATAGCAATGGCCTCCAACCTAAGAGCGATGGCCTCCAACCTAGTAGCGATGGCTTCCAACCGACTAGTTGTGACCTGGTATGACCTGTTAATTTCTTCAATTCATTATGCATTAACTGATAGAGTTGACCGCACCAAAGTTCGCAGTGGTTCATGACATCTGAACAATTTCAAGCAATGATTCTGGGTTGTTCTGGTGGTTAAGACACACTTTGCAAAAATGAGGAATATAAACATCTCAGAGTGTCGATGGGAAACAGGTCAGCCTTTGGCACAGCCAATTGCAGAGGCACAGGCCAGAACGTCAGGGTGTCCCAGCCAGTAGATTATGGTTGCAAGCACCCTACGCACCACTGTGCAATCTTGCAGTACGGCTCCTTTGAAGAGTTGGTGGTTGTTGGTAGATTCTACACCTTTGTTGATCCACTTCTTCTACGGAACAACACCAGCACTTTTTGCAAGGTGGCACAAGCAAGCAAGCAAGCAAGGAAGCAAGCAAGCAAGGGTGCACCTGCTTGCTTGCTTGCTTGCTTGCTTCCTTGCTTGCTTGCTTCCTTCCTTCCTTGCTTCCTTGCTTCCTTGCTTCCTTGCTTCCTTGCTTCCTTGCGTCCTTGCTTCCTTGCTCCCTTGCTTCCTTGCTTCCTTCCTTTCTTCCTTGCTTCCTTCCTTGCTTCCTTGCTTCCTTTCTTCCTTGCTTCCTTGCTTCCTTGCTTCCTTGCTTCCTTGCTTCCTTCCTTCCTTCCTTGCTTGCTTGCTTGCTTGCTTGCTTGCTTGCTTGCTTGCTTGCTGGCTTCCTCGCTTCCTCGCTTCCTCGCTTGCTTGCTTGCTTGCTTGCTTGCTGGTGTGAGTGCTGATTACTTCTTTGCTCGGGAATCACTGCAAAAAGCACAAGCAAACAAGTGGTTTTTGGCAAATTTGCAGTGTGAGGTATGGCCAGCGACGTTTGTCCATGGACGGCCAGTCTGGTGTGCAGTGACCTCAAGATTGTGGTCCTGCCTCCATTATGGGATCTGAACGGGACATTATATGCATGATTATGAATTCGTTGCGTGATTTTTCAGGCTTCACCTCTTGCCATGGCCCCCCAAATTAGCGTTTCTGACTTTTGTCATTTAGGGGTCATCCCACTTCTGGTTTCTCCCATGTAGGTGCCCTCTAATCCCAGCGGATGCAGAACGACCTGGCTGGCATCACCTTTTGGTAACTGTAGCTGGATTCTACTATGGACTTATGGACCACACTGGTGAGGGTTAAAGTTCACAAGTTCGTTGAAATCGACTCAGATCACCTTCCAAGACTGGCGAACAAGGATGATCAGTAGGACAAATGGAAAAAATAATAACACGTTGTTTGTTTTGCTTCTCACATGTGTTTTTTCATGCGAGGAAATTGCCTGTTGTAGGCCTTTGAGTCTTTGAGCCTTTGAGATAAGGCGTATACCCACCGTATGCTCACAGCTCGAAAGTCTGAGTTTGGTTTGACTTTGAACTATATAGGCCAAAACATATGCTAAGCCGAACTCACCACTTTGGTCTTTTCAGACCTGGGATGCTATTCATTGCAATGCCATCCTTCTGGACCTTCAGGATCGTGGCATCACGCACCTCCGCTGTGAACCAGGCCGCCCATTAGATTTGTGGGCACGACATCGCTGGTGGGAGAGAGCCTGAAAGGGAGAAAGAACTATAAGTCATTATAAGTCTATATACTGTAGATGAACAGATTCATTGCAAGGAACGAAGCTGGGATCCAACAAGATGCAGAAGCAAACAGATGTGAGGATCAGAGATAGAGGAAGCAGACACGCTTGCCACAAAATGTCTGTCTTGCAAGCTGCTGTGCCCACAGCATCTCAAGCTGTAAGAGTCTTCTTCCATGGTGGTGGGTTAAGACTTTCCTGGCCAGTCTCAGTGGAGTAGAGTGGAGTTCTCTTCCCGCAATTCTGTTTCTGGTGGTTTCTGCTGAACGAAAATACACCAGTTGGAACAGACTGCGTGGTGTCCTGGAGTTCCGAGGCGCAGAGATATGCACGCCAGGCAGAAGCAGGTCGGAGAGCTTGGTATTGGGGACCAGTTGGGACCAGATGTTGGCAAATGAGATTGCAGTCAAAGCATGGATTTGTTGGACTCTTTGGGTATATTGTAAGCATGAACATCCATTAACATGCCCGGGGTTGAATGCTTCAAGGGGTACCAAAGAGACATCTTCCTGGCGGGATTGACCTTGGACCTCTGAGGTGAGCGCGGATCAGCCTCCCGACCCTCAAGCGCCTTTCAGAGACACAAGGTGCAAGTTGTGGCGCTGGGGTATTTCTCTCGATGCTTGCAGCAACAACAAGTGATGCGTGCCACATCATGATGGCAGGATGATTGCGATTTCTTAGAAGGAATGCAGCATGATGCAACCCCATCCCTGCCATCTGAAAGATTCTGAAAGATACGAATTCTCAGCCAGCAACGTCGTTCCTCAGACTTCTTCAGGGTGATTCATGGATTCCACGTGCTTATCGATCATGTGGACACCTCGCTGCTGTCTAGCAACCCTCCGCACTGGGCTTCCAGTCCGTCACATGGCGCAGTGGCAGGAGCAGATGGCCTCCAATCGGCGCATTATCGTGGCGGCCCCGACCCAGGCGGCCCCGAAGAAACACTGAACAAGCAGACGGAAGAAGACGGTGAGCAGACGGTGAGGAAGACGGTCTGCAGACCGGAACTCACCGAACGGTGGATTCCTCCAGATCTTCTGGGTATATACTATAGGGATCTTCTGGGTATATTTGATGGATTCCTCTGGAAATTTGTTTGCTCTCTGTCTAAACTCCCCATGGATGAATCGAACGTGTGCATGCTCATGCTGGAATCTGTAGATTGTTTGGTTTGAAGTTTGATGTGGTTGAAAGAGGGGCATCACTTATTGGTCAAAGGATCCGTATCATCACGTTGACGAGACGGCGTCCGAGAGGTGAATTGATGTATCTCAGTTCTATGTCATGTGTTGAATCTGTTGAGCTTGCGGCTGCAGACTGTATCAGATTATCACTGTTGTTGCTGCTCTTTTCAGGCACATCATGCAACTGCTGGCAGTGGCTTGGCAGAAAGCGGGGCCGTGGCGACTGCAGCAAAAAGAAAGGCGGTACGTGGGTGCGCCAGCGGGAGTCCACCACCGTATCGACACGTCGTTACCGACTACTCCATGCGATACCCTCAAATCAAACGGTATATCCGACCCATCCGAGGACATTGAGCCTGGTGTGTGTGTGTGTGTGTCACACTCTGTTCCAAAGAGTTTCTGTTCTGTTCAAACCGCAGGGGGTGGCAGCAGGAACGAGAGTCTGCCACCAACGAAGACACTCTCGATTTCCTGGTGATACTGGGACTGATCATCCCAGCGTACCTGCCTCGATTGCAAGCTGTGACACCAATTTTCCTCTGGTTTGTTTTCATGGTCCTTGCATGATAGACCCCTAAACCTTTCTCCCACCGCTGACTTGCAGCCGCATCGCCGCTGAGCGCCTTCGCAGTCAAGCGAAACCGCCACTGTTCAAACATTCTGTTCATTGCGGACTGAGTCGCCTTTCCGTTCTTTCATTCATTTCCCCGGGGAATTGATGTAACTGCAAACCCATTGTCCAAGTGTGTGCTGCTCTATCGTCCCACTGGGTGCAGAGTGTGATCCCCGTCACTGGGGTGCTGAGACCATTCCGGACTGCCGTGCAACTGATGCAGCGTTTTCCTGCATGCCTTGGATTCTCTTGACTGATTCTCGTTTCACCCACTGTATTCCCAAAATCGAAATTGCCGAGTCTACGGTACCTTTCCACCGCCGGGTTTACGGAGAATAAACCCCGACGAGTTTTCTACCCCAAACACCCCAACCCCCCCCTCTAATTAGGGTAACAGAGGGAAATGGTACTCAACACACTTGTGTGTCGTGTCGGTGCCTTTCCCTCTGTTGTGCATTCCATTCCATTCCACAGCCCGCAATGCGGGACCACTAGAAGGGTCCCATGAGTGCCACTACCCCGCAGGGTCTCAGGGCCAGCATGGGTCCCTATAGTGTAATAAGAATCGGACCAAGGCCTCCCCACAGCGCCGCTCTGTATTTTTACTCGGTTGCCTGGAGCTTGAGGACCCAATCAGCAGGGCTGAGTGGGAACCCGTGCTGGTATTCTCTTAAGAGAGCTTGGAGGAACCAGGCCCTGCACTTGCGCTTGAGCGGTGAAGAGAAACATATAGTCCTTGTCCACTGAATCAACTGCCGAAACTCATTGGCGCTGAAGCTACAGTCTTGTTGGACAAGCTCCATCCAATTTGATTCGACTTCCTGCCAAGCTGGCACAACCGCGCGACACTTCCAACTTAGGAGATAGTCCTTCCGGGCTTCCGGGGTCCGGCACGCCTCTGGAAGGGAAGAATACAGAGAAACCTAACTCTCGCGCAACTGATATCCAAGTCTGTTTGGTTGAGCCTGTTGCTGCCTTTACCGTCCGGCAAGGTTTAAGACTAAAGTCCCGCTCCCTAACTATTGCACTTAATTCATTTCTGCTAAGTAATCAGTAATTCTAGAGTGCTAGGTATTCATACACACACACACATGTACATACACCTCCCTGCCCCCCCACTTTCTTTCTTGCGCTTTTTGTCGTTGCTTGGGCTTTCCTTCAGGCTTTTTAGGTAGTTCTTGATGCTCGTTTCCTTACCCCGGTCAAGGGCTAAGTATTCACCTTTTGCTACTCCTATCTTTCTCTCTTGCCCTTTTAGCGCTGCTCTTTCTGGTTTTCTTTCTCTTGTTTCTAAGGCTTTTTAGGTGCCTATTTAGGTTTTCCGCGAGAGCGCCGCAAAGCGGCCGAGTGTGTGTGTGTGTGTCACACTCTGTTCCAAAGAGTTTCTGTTCTGTTCAAACCGCAGGGGGTGGCAGCAGGAACGAGAGTCTGCCACCAACGAAGACACTCTCGATTTTGTGGTGATAGTGGGACTGATCATCCCAGCGTACCTGCCTTGATTGCAAGCTGTGACACCAATTTTCCTCTGGTTTGTTTTCATGGTCCTTGCATGATAGACCCCTAAACCTTTCTCCCACCGCTGACTTGCAGCCGCATCGCCGCTGAGCGCCTTCGCAGTCAAGCGTAACCGCCACTGTTCAAACATTCTGTTCATTGCGGACTGAGTCGCCTTTCCGTTCTTTCACTCACTTCCTCCTAAGTGTGAAGGGAACAAACCTTTTCTGATGGCAGTCACCCTGAGGTCAAATGGCTCGGATGTTCTCTCCAAGGTGCAGAGAAGTGGGGCCGAGCAAGTTTTTACGTGACATAGGACCTATGAAGTTGAGACTGGATGCATCACAGTCAGACCGAAGCCCCACTCTGAGCGCAGGAGTCGACAGATGCAACCGACACGAAGTGTGGCCGGGAGGCGAAGAGAAGCTGCTTCAGCGGCCACACCGGCGCTGCAGATTCTGCAGATCACACCGGCGCTGCACCGTGGTGGGCACTGCCGAAACATCACTGATAGGAAACCCAATGGACGCCCCCAAAGATGACCGACCCATTATAGTCATTTTTCACCTGGAATATGGGGGTCCGGATTTAACAAAATAAACTCATGGCCAGCGCAGGAGTTCATTGCTGATCAATCCGCAAGCCTTTTTTGGGGTATCTTCAGAGCACCATACTTATATATTATATATATAACATATATGTAAAAAAAGAGATCCACTTGGGTACCTCCAAAACATCCAAAGACCCCCTTGGCAGTTGGCTCCGCCGCTTTGGTACGTTCGCTAAGGCGAGTTGCGCCGCTCTGCGAGAGCCAGCGGCCTTGCGCGAGCCGGCCTGGCCCCCAGAGCCGGCCGTTCGAACAAGTTAAGTCCGGCTGCCAGGGCCACTGGTATATGGTTTTTCCTGCGCTTGGAGTTTGGACCCACACTCTGTTTCGATCCGCACGCGCAAACGACTTAGTCGCTCCAACATTTAGTTTGTTTTCCATCATATGTTTGTCCTTGTTGTGTGACAAACAATCGATGATATGATACGCTGATTAAATATTATGTAATATAACAGTATATAACAATATATAGTATAATGTAAGTATTTACAAATTAAACTAGTGTTTTCATCTCTCTCTCTCTCTCTCTCTCCCTCCCTTTCTAGTTGTTTCATTCTGATTCATGTGTGCTTGAAATGTTCGCCAAAGTACACCAGCAAGCTGAGCAAGGGGAAGAAACAGGCAAGATGTGAGCACTGAGACAGTAGCAGTGACACAAAGACTGCGTTCACAAAAATGTAAGCGCCCCACATGGCTCAAAAAATTGTAAGTTAAAATGTTGGCGTCATTGCCCAGTATATGACACCTGGAGCCTGAAACTAGACGACGGTTGGCCCGAGAGGGAGACATGCAATTGTCCAGCGCTGTCGAAACGATGTATAGCAAGAGAGAAAGAGAGGGTGGATGTGAAGGAGTGACAGTGTGGATGTGCAGGCGCGATATAGATCTGTAGATGTATGGAGGTGGAGAGGTAGATCTGTCGATGTGAGCGTGCGAAGATGTAAATGCACAGAGACGAGAGAAAAGACACGTAGAAAGAAAGACAGGACAGATGTGAAGGAGCGACAGTGTGGATGTACAGATGTGATATATAGATGCGCAGATGTGTGGGTGTGGTGAGGTGGAGGGGTAGATCTGCGGATGTGGGCGTGCGAAGATGTAAATGTAGACGTAGATGCGTCGATGCAACGGCAGCGCAACGTCAACCGTAGTTGTGCAAGTACAACGCTGAAGAGGTTCAAATAGAACTGAAGAACGTACATTTCACACTGAAGTTTCCACGAACAGGGCGACCTGAGAGTAAACGACGTCGCGATCATGACAAGCGACTCGTGTATTCCAAGCGAACATCGTTTGTCATGAAGGTGAAGTACACACATACTAACGTCACGATGACTCTTTTGTGGCAGCCACTTATGAGTAAGCAAAGTAGCAAAAATTTGTCAACCTGTCAAGAGAGCCGGGTGGTCGGTAGACATGACTGCTGCAGGGGCGCCAGAGCAGCCGCGAGAGATGACTCATCCGCGTACTAAAGTTGTACTACAAAGTCGCCAGTTCTCAGCTTCCAGCTCCACAGCTTGCTCCACGTTACTAAAGTTGTACTACAAAGTCGCCAGTTCTCATCTTCCAGCTCCCCAGATACTCCGCGTACTAAAGTTGTACTAGAAAGTCGCCAGTTCTCATCTTCCAGCTCCCCAGATACTCCGCATACTAAAGTTGTACTACAGAGTTGCCAGTTCTCAGCTTCCAGCTCCACAGATTGCTCCGCGTACTAAAGTTGTACTACAAAGTCGCCAGTTCTCATCTTCCAGCTCTCCAGATACTCCGCGTACTAAAGTTGTGCTACAACTTCGCCAGTTCTCATCTTCCAGATCCCCAGATTCTCCGCGTACTAAAGTTGTACTACAATATCGCCAGTTCTCAGCTTCCAGCTCCACAGATTGCTCCGCGTACTAAAGTTGTACTAAAAAGTCGCCAGTTCTCATCTTCCAGCTCCCCAGATACTCCGCATACTCAAGTTGTACTACAAAGTCGCCAGTTCTCAGCTTCCAGCTCCACAGATTGCTCCCCGTTCTAAAGTTGCACTACAAAGTCGACACGCGCGATCTCCGCAGAGGGTTGCGCCGGACCGGGCCAAAACGCACTCTGGCGTGCGTTTCGCGCACTCGACACGCACGATCCCCGCAGAGGGTTGTCCCGGACCGGGCCAAATCGCACTCCCGCCTGCGTTTCGCGCACTCGACACGCACGATCCCCGCAGAGGGTTGCCCGCGACAAAGCCAAATCGCACTCTCGCCTGCGTTTCGCGCACTCGACATGCGCGATCTCCGCAGAGGGTTGCGCCGGACCGGGCCAAAACGCACTCTCGCCTGCATTTCCTCGACACGCGCGATCCCCGCAGAGGGTTGTCCCGACCGGGACAAATCGCACTCTCGCCTGCATTTCGCGCACTCGACGCGCACGATCTCTGCAGAGGGTTGCCCGCGACCGGGACAAATCGCACTCTCGCCTGCATTTTGCGCACTCGACGCGAGGGTTGCGTTTCGTGGCGGTCCGGCGGCACTGCCCCCGGGCTTAAGAGAGAAAGCTAAGAAGAGCGAGAGGTGAAGATGTGAGATGTAGATGTGAGGATGTGAAGATGAGCAGAGATGTAGATGTGCAGATGTGAACGTGATATGAGCAGAGATGTAGATGTGCAGATGTGAAGATTGTGCAGAGGTGAAGATGTGAAGATGTAGAGGAGGTGTAGTTCTGCAGATGTTTCTTTACGAAGAACCCTTCGCAGGCGCTCTCGGGAAAAATGTGTAAGTTACATTTTTTCAGACTAGCTGCAAAAACATGTAATTTTATTGTTATTATATTTTTTAAAGTCCAAACATAGGAAAATGTAACTTACTGCTTTGACGTCCCCCCTTTGGAAAGGGTAGGGATGTTATTTCGTGATTTGGATTATATACGAGTTGCTTGTGTTTTTTGTGTTTTAAGTTTACCTAGCTGTACAAAGCGATATTGCAGTCTCAGCAAACGATGGACTCAAAACCCAAGTTCGGACATTTTCTGGCCGGAGATGTAGCACGTATCTCGGCATGGTTGGGCTCAGACCGTCCTTTTTGTGCCCATCAGCTTCGGTTGAGCCATTGAGGCTGCCAGCATTGCACAAGCTGCTCAGGCGAGAAAAGGAGGGTTGACGTTCCATTGTCTCGTCTCATATGTGTGTAGAGCCAGGTAAGTTCAGTGGAGGCCCTTGGTCCTTTGTCCTTATGTTTTCTGACTGGGGGGCAGAAAACCTGGATGAGGCCGGACCTACATATAGCCAAGGATTCTTGGGGCATGTCGCTTCAGGGAGCGAAATCAAGTAACAAGGGCGAGCTGAGGAGCTGCCTAAGTAGAACGATCTTAGAGCTTAGAATTTAGAATGAAGAAGGTGGGCCCTGTGAAGCATGTTGAGCATCATGGTTTCTCAGACCTCAGAGGCAGTGGCAACGCAAAGTGACAGCCAATCACAGCAGGCAGCGGCAGCGAGTGACACGTTGGTTTCTGGATATTTCTGGTTTTGGGTTCGAACTTTAAAAAAGGGTCAATTGGATGTCCTGCCGAATCTGCCGACGCTTGGACTTCCAAACAAGCACTTGCTTTGGGGAGTAGTGATTTTAAGACTCTAGACTAGAAGTCCTTGTTTTCCCAGAATCATGGATGGAATCTTGTTTCCTCCAAGAGGTTTGTGCACACTTTCAGCTTTGCAGATGAAGAGAATGATTTGTGGTGTGTCCTTGCCTTTGTCATAATATAACTAACTAATAATATAACATTATATTGTGCTGTTCAAAGGTAAACGAGGGGCAGTGACAAGCATGAGGCAGGCAGAGGATGGTGAAGTCCACTGTAGGTGTATTTGAGCAGTCACTGCTGATCTTTCTGTTGAACTACTAACCACTAGTTACTAAAATTAATTTGACCTTTACGTTTGTGGAAACCTACAAACAACTAGCCGACTGCTACATTCAGAGTACACACTTGGCGCGCGGGGAAACAGCATAATTTCTACGACTGATTGCAGCATAGGCCTCAACAAGGAAGCATTGCAGGCCGCCCCCAAATGCCTGCATCAGCATGTGCAAGAGGTGGCATCACAGTCACCAACAGGTCGTGAACGGATCTTCCAATTCAGGCAGTCCTTGCCAAGGTGTGACAGAGCTTGCAGGTCGGAATACCGCTGATTCAAGCTTTGCGGCCAGATTCGGATAGATTCGGCACACGGCTGAACAAGTCGCAGCACAGCTCTGCAGCAGGGAACAAGTCGCATCGAGAGGCAAAGGACGTGGGCAGAACTACAGGGAGCTTAACAGTAACGTTGGTAAAGTCTCTACACCAACAAGACGGGCATGGTGGAGTGGTCGAAAAAGATCAACTTGAGACGAGCATGGTGCCTTTGGCGCCAGCTCCCTCCTATACAAGGGTTATAGTCACAGTTATGTATACAGGTTATAGATGGTTATAGTATGTTAGTGTATGTTATAGTTACAGTGCAGGGAATACCCACTTCCATCATAATCATGACTTATCATACATGCGTTCGTCTTCGACGAGGTGCGACCCACCGCTGTGGCCCGGGCACCTGGGGCAGTCTTGGCTTTCATGGCTGAAGACATTCCATTTCAATGCAGAAGGGAACGTCTAGTGATTCCAGCAGAGGCACAACAAAAAGTGTGTCATGCGATTATATAGTTGTTGGAGATCCCAAACACTTGCATGGTAAGACGCTACTAGGGGCTCCTGGCCTTACTACCAGAAGCAAGGACGCTACTAAGGGCTCCTGGCCTTGCAACTAGGAGCAAGAAGCTACTAGGGGCTCCTGGCCTTACTACTAGGAGCAAGAAACTGCTCGGGGCTCCTGGCCTTACTACTAGGAGCAAGATGCTACGAGGGGCTCCTGGCCTTACTACCAGAAGCAGGAAGCTACTAGGGCTCCTGGCCTTACTACTAGGAGCAAGAAGCTACTAGGAGCTCCTGGCCTTACTACTAGGAGCATCTAGGAGCAAGATTCTACTAGGGGCTCCCGGCCTTGCTACTAGGATCAAGAAGCTACTAGGGGCTCCTGGCCTTACTACTAGGACCAAGAAGCTACTAGGGGCTCCTGGCCTTACTACTAGCAGCAAGAAGCTACTAGGGGCTCCTGGCCTTACTACCACAAGCAAGGACGCTACTAAGGGCTCCTGGCCTTACTACTAGGAGCAAGAAGCTACTAGGCGCTCCTTACTACTAGGAGCAAGAAGCTACTAGGGGCTCCTGGCCTTACTACTAGGAGCAAGAAGCTACTTCCTGGCCTTACTACTAGGAGCAAGATTCTACTAGGCGCTCCTGGCCTTACTACCAGAAGCAAGAAGCTACTAGGAGCTCCCTGGCCTTACTACTAGGAGCAAGAAGCTACTAGGGGCTCCCGGCCTTACTATACTAGGAGCAAGAAGCTACTAGGGGCTCCTGGCCTTAATACTAGGACTAGGAGCAAGAAGCTACTAGGGGCTCCCGGCCTTGCTACTGCAAGAAGCTACTAGGGGCTCCTGGCCTTACTACTAGGAGCAAGAAGCTACTAGCGGTTCCCGGCCTTACTACTAGGAGCAAGAAGCTACTGGGCTCCTGGCCTTGCTACAAGAAGCAAGAAGCTACTAGGGGCTCCTGGCCTTACTACTAGGAGCAAGAAGCTACTAGGGGTTCCGGGCCTTACTACTCGACAACCCTTCTAATTTCAGGAAACCTTGTCCGAGCCCACCGACCTTTCTGACCTCCTCAAAATTGAGACGGAGACCAAGCCATTCAGCATCCTGAGAGGCCGGCGCCCGTTTCAGCCCCACAACATTTCTCATTTTGCCGCAAATGTGTCGGCGCACTTTGACTTTGACAGGCACCAAAGACAGCCTCGCACGCGGTCTCCGGCGCTACAATGCGCAGCTGCGGGCTCATAACAAGAAGCCGGCGTTGCCACTCCGGGGCAACGCTGGTGGTGGAATGGTGGTCACGGACTTCTGGCCGGATAATTTGAAGGCAGGGCGGTGAACTTGGCAAAAAATAGATCTTACACCGTTTAAACTTGCCGCTTTCGAGTCGGTCAAACTTTCGTCGTCAACTCTGCTGACAGGACCGGGAGTGCCACATCATTGTGGACGGCCAGGTCTGGTTAGGCGAATTCGTGGTGTGGAGTCCACCCATGTTGCACCCTTGGGATATGCAGCTGTGGGTTGCCAAAGAGCTCCCACCAGCTGCCATTTACATTCCCAACAACGTTTTGATCGCCACGCGGTTGGGGGAAGGCGCGACGGGTATCCGGAACGCCGACCACGATGGTGATCGTTTCCTTTTTTCCGATGACCCCGACTTGGTCAAATTTTGCAAGGCGACGCCCGAGAGCGTCAGTTCTTCCCTTTTTTCCGACGGCCTGAAACAGGTTCGGTCTTTTCTGAACAAAAGCCCGGCTTTCCGGGGGACCTCAATTTCAGATTACCGTGGCCACGTCCTTTCTGTGGAAACTCGCCCGGTAAGAGGTCTTGCCTGCGCTGCGGCCGAAAAGGCGCAACAGGCTGTTTTTAACTCAGTTGACCCGATGCAAAGCGGGGCAATGCTTTGGAGCATCAAGCTCAGTGAGTGCGCCCACATGGCAAACGATGCTCCAAAGAAGTTCGAAGGTTCGCAAGTTTTGGAATTAATCGACACACTTCTCGGGCAGGCCGGTTTGAAGCGCGCCAGCCCGAGGAGCTCGAACGTGCTGCGGCCCAGGCTCCGGCTACAACATTTGGACCGGAGCCAAATTTTGGAGGCTTTAAACAGAGTTTTGGCCAAGCAGCATATTGTAAGTTTAGGGAAGGTGTGGTTGCCCACATCCAACGTCCGGCTGTCCATGGCGGCGGGCGAAGCCCTCCGCGAATTGTGGAGCAAGCCAAAGAGGAGGGGGGACTAGGGGCTCCTGGCCTTACTACTCGCAGCAAGAAGCTACTAGGGGCTCCTGGCCTTATACCACAAGCAAGGACGCTAATTACTAAGGGCTCCTGGCCTTACTACTAGGAGCAAGAAGGGGCCCCTGGCCTTACTACTAGGAGCAAGAAGCTACTAGGGGCTCCTGGCCT